AATGCAATCTTTTATAAAAAAGGATCATTCTTATGCCACTTATTACGATCAAATTGGTTATCTGCAAAAAACGAATAGACAATAACAATCTAAATATCTTTTGTGCTATCGCTATCGAAGTATAGCCAAAGTATGAACTTAAAACTAGCTTAAAGGTTACACAGCTTGCTATTCTTTTGTACTTCAAAGAGTTGAATAAACTGAAAAATTAGTTTTCAGTTAGTAAACCAACAGTACAGTGCTATTTCTAGGTTGTAAAAGTTGAAAGCATCTCATATGATCCGCTCTTTATGTAAAATGTTTAGATTCCTGTTTAAATTGGTTGCAAAGTTTGCACTGTCAACCTCTGTAGGCTTAAAAACAGAATCGTCTGTTACATTGCCGAAATGTTACTGTATTATCAACAATAGGATAGGTAAAAAAAAAAAAGATTTAAGCAAAAATAGTTTCTGAGTGTCACTGAAAAATAATAACTGAGAGGAGCAGAGAATTAATAAGCAATTTATTTTTATAAGTATTAAATTTAGATATTTTTATAAATAAATTGCAAATTTTTCTAAATAGAACAAATTAAAAAAAAATTTCTAGAGAGATGTTTATCACAAATAGAACTGTAAATTTGGTCAGATGCTGTGACAAAGAACTTGCATTTGCTATTGTACGTGTATTGTAATAGATATGTGATTTTATCGACAAATCTTTGTAAGCAATTCTACGAGTATACTAGTGGCTTGAAAAGCAATTAATTTTTGGTAAAGAATATGAATAAAAAATAACAACAGTTTCTTCTCCTATCTTTTTGTAACTATTGGAGTCGCATGAAAAGAGGTTGCTGAAAATTCCTAAAAATTTATTGGCTGTTATTTTGCGGATTCAAGAAAAAATAATGTTAAATCTGTCATTTAAAGTTTACAAAAGAAAGCGTTTCTGAAAATTCTGTTAAAAGCTGAAAGAAATAGGTCGCTGTATAAAGCGCAGTGTTTTCATTCATAGAAAAATATAAAAATTATTAGGAAGAACAAAGTGTGAAGACTACTTATTGTAAAAAGCCAAGTCAGGAAGTGTTCAAACGTTGTTTTCTGCCTTTTTTTTTTCTTGTCTGTCAAAGATGTCTTAAATAAAAAAAAAATCTTAGCAGTTGTAAAAAAATTAATGAAAAATCAAGACGATGATCCTAACTGCTTATAAAATAATTCTTTTGTTTTTTAATCTATTTTCTAATATGTTCATCGTGATGATACACACAATTGGTGCGAAACTGCATAAATTTTTTTTAAACTTTCAGAAACAAAAAATTAGAAGCAAGAAAAAAAGCAGTTGAAACAGTTTTCAAAAGAGTGTTCTGGCAAGAAAATCTGATTGTTTTTTCCAATATGTCTACAAACAGTTAAACCATTTTCACATTTAAAAAGAAAAACCACATAAATTTTTCACTTTTATAGAAAACTCTTTTTAAACAATTCTGAATGAAATGGTTATAAATAAAACAGTTAAACATACCTTTACCAACAATTTGTTCCAAAAAAATATTGTCATAGTTAATCAACAGTGGCACAATTGTTTGCCGTAATTCCGTGCTAATCAGCGACAATAAACTTTGTTCAGATAGTACAGATGATACTGCAAAAGAACTTGGTACTGAGGTAGCAGAATCAGAATCAGAATCTGGTAAAGGATTTATAAATACACTGCCACGTGCCATAGTATCCTTCCAACTTGTATATCTATGAGGCAAAAAACAAAAAAAAGTTTCTGTTTTTTTTCTCCTTCTTGTTGCTGTTTGGTGTGGTTAATTTACTGCCAATACAAGCCAGCGGTATGAATCAAATAAAACTGCACACATCAACACCGAAGAAAAAGAAGTTTAGGAAGAAAGAAATAGTATCGACAAGTAAGTCTTTATTGCTTTTGATGGCAAAAATAGCTGCTTTTTTAGAGGTACAGAAAATACAGTACTCAACTGACCATTAACTTGAAGTCTATTATTGTACTAGTAATAGTAGAATGCGCTACAATCAAACAGAAGAATTATAAGTTAATAGATAAGAAGAATTTCAGTTGTTGAAGCATTCATAAAATGTAAATTGTAAAACAGTCATACAGCTAATTTACTTGACAAGAAAAATTTTTTGTTATCTTTCTATGCTTTCGTTCTTTCTTGTTTCAAGCTTCTATAAAATAAGAAAGAGTTTTTAAAAAAGGATATGGCAGTTGAAGATAAAAATACTCTTTGTCTGATCCCAAAAAACTATTTGAATTAAGAAATTTTCCACTGAATACGCTATAGGAACGACTAACTACAGACCAGATGACAGTTGGAGTAGAGTGAATACTGCTTGCCGGGTAAACAGTTTATGCAGCCGTCAACGCAGGTACAGCACCAACCAACCCGAATAGACTGAGCAGCAGCAGCGGCGCTCGTCGTAGCAACCGGCTTTGAGTCTTACTTCACTGACACACAGACACACACATACACACACACACACACACACACGGATCTGCATATAGACACCGTGTTAAAAGTCACCGTCAAAGTGATCCCATAGGTAAACAAAAAAAACTTCTGTTTTTAAAATGAGAAGCAACGATTTAAACATCAAGTTGTTCTTTTTTCTTCTATTACTCTTTTTCCTTTCATTGCTTTATGCCAGTAATAAAAATTTCTCAAAATAAAAAAATTACTGCAACATAAAAAAGCTAATAATTTTTTTTGTCTCATAAAAAAGAAAAAAAATCAGACAGTTTTTAGAAGAACTAAATGGCAATTGAAGGAAAAAATACTGAAAAAAAAAAACCATCCTGTTAACTCTACACGCAGCAGACAAGATTTTGCATACCGTCGACTGCTTTTCTTGACGTAGAAGACGTAGCAAAAGCAAGTTTTGTAAATTGACAGGAGAAACCATACAGAAGAAGACACTTCAGCGATTACTTAATGCACTTAAATAAATCAAAATAATACTTTGATACGTGATTTGTATGTTGAATGTACACCAGTGATTTACTGTTTACGCCACCTGTTCCGAATATGATTACAAAATGTACGCTCCATCTTTTCTTGACTTCCCAATTCTTTCAATAAAAAAAAAAAAAAGTAAAGAGCTTTTTTTAGTAAAAAATTTTCTAGCTATTTCTAAAATAAAAAAAACTTTTTTCACTACTCAACTCCCACATACCCAAAATTTTTGAATTTTCATCGCCATCATCATCATCGTCGTCAACAACATCAACAACAACAACGACAGTAACAACGTAATAAAAAATTGTTACTGTTATTCAGTTTTTCATTCCTCAAATAGCAGTAAAAAAAAAAGCTTAGCTTTTTGACAACAGCCACTTAACGTTTCTTTTTTGCTTAAGAAATGTATGCTATCCTTAAATTTTTTTTTTTTTTTTTGATATTTACTGAGCAGCAAAAATAATGCTCAATCGTTTGGTTAGTTGTTATTTATTGACAAATTTGTGTGCATAAGCCTCTCAGAAAAAGAAAAATTAGTATAACTATTTCATTTGTCCTTCTCAACAGTACCGTTTTTGAAAGAAAAATCAAAATCAGAAAAAAAAAATTTTTTTTTTTTCTAAGTCATTCTTTTTTTGTGTGTGTGTGTGTGTGTAGAAGCAAACAGTCGGTTTTTCAAGAGAGCAAAAATCAGAACTAATAAAAATATAAACTTATACCTAAATAAATAAATAAATATGTACCTTTTTTTTTTACTTATACAAACTTTTTTACTTTTTATCTACTTTTTTTACTCTTACTTTTACAAATAATAGTTTTAAATATTTGTAAAAAAGCTTTAAAAAAAAGAGAAGTTTTTTAAATTTAATCGAAAAAATTTTAATTATTATAGGCTAACGGTAGCTTGGCTGCTCAATATTTTTATCTTATTTTATAGTCTTTCTTCCCTCTCTTTATCTTATATCTACGTCTTAAAGTACCTGTACCTCTTTACGGTTTCCCCGTTCTTACGTACTTATCTATAAAAAAAAAAACGAAAAAAAAACTGAAGAAAAATGTCTTTTATTTTTTATCAAAAAGAATTGCAGTTTATCACTGGTGTTGTTTAGTCAAATATTTAACAACTTTACTGAGTTTTGTTCAAAAAAAAAAGAGACACCTAATGTAACAACGGCAAAAAAGTGTCTTTTTATTTAATCAGCCATTTACAGTAAAAACTTACAACCGAAAACTGTTTGCAGTTTCAACCCCAACCCTCTCCCCCAGAGTCATCCTTTCTTCTCTCTCTCTCTTTCTCCGCTTTTCGTCAGTTCTTCTTGAATAATGGTAGACAAAACCAAAAATAATGTTCTTTGCTTTTTTGCTTCAATTTGATCTGAATTTTTTTGGACATTCACTGCTAATCTGCTTAAATATTTCCGTTTTATACAACTAAATAGATAAACAAAAGAAGCCTTTATATTTGCCTCCGACATAACTGACAAACAGCTGTGAAAATGGTAGAAGCAGTAAAAAATATATGCATTTTGCTTTTTCTTTTTCGAAAATTTTGGTTTCTTGTCTTCTTTCCAAATGATTCCTAAGTGAGAGAAATAACAAAAATTTGGTTAGAAAAAACAAAATTTCTAACTGATATTGACATGGTAAAAAATATTTTCTCCTTTTACTCAGTTCTTTTCATCCTTTACTTTATTCTGCGTGCTCGTTACCACAAAAACTAGTTTATATGGTTG